TCTCCGTACTTTCTGTTGGCGTGGGAATGTGTACTGTTCTCATTCTGTGTTTAGTCTCTGTGTTGTCTCCTGGTTTCTTCTGAGTAGTTTCCTTCCATACATTATGCGTATTGGTTCTGGAGCGCACCCATCCACAGCTCCCCTCCAGACCCCACACCTCCTTTTCTGCATTCGCACCAGTTTGGCCTTCCCAAACTCTGATCTCATCTTTGCTCAGGTTCCACCAGACTCACTTTGGCTTCCCTTTTTTGTTTTGTATAATGGAAAGTGCCTCTGGTGTGAGCCTGGGACACACTTCAGGTTCCTATTAGTTTCCTTTCTCATGAGGGTCACAGTTTTGAACTATTGTTCAGTGTGTGAAACTGTTATGTCAGATATTTTGTCTGCTTTCCTTAGTTGTTGATGCTATCAGGGCAATTCCCAAGCCAGTTAATCTTTTGTGCTCAGAAGTAAAAATCTCCCTATTTTGCCTTGAATTCATTCCATACTGGCTTTATCTCCTAGCCCTATATCGAAATTGATTTTCAAAACTTTATTGAACTCAGTAGTATTTAAAACATGGCCATGTGCTGCTTAATGGTGGTGGTATAGTCTGAGAACTGTATCACTAGACGATTTGTCCTGTGTTTCTGTTACAGTGTACTTACACACACTGCATAGTGTGTGTTCTTTATAGATATGGTCTCTGTATGCAGCCAAGACATGGTGAGCAAAAACAAACGTGAAGCTGCTGCATTGTGTTTTACAAGAACTGAAAAATGCTGTCATGGTGATTGCTAGCAGAGTAAACAAACACAGCTGTCCATTGCCATTACCAAGTGTTATAGACTGTGCATAATTGTATATACTGTGCTTTTACATGACTGATAACAGTAAGTTTTGTACATCATATATATGTACAACAGGTATAAACCTGTTGAATAATGTGTTGTTCATGGACAATATGTTGGCTGTGACATCTCTAGGAAGTGGGACTGTTCCAGCCCCATCTTGGATCCACCATGTGGGTAGTCATGTAGCACTGTTGACTGTTGTTGATTGTTCTGTGAACAGTTCTTCCATTTAGCTGTGTTCTTAGCAGCAGTCAGACTCTCTTGATTTGATTCCTATCTTCTGACCACTTCTTTCATCTGTGTTGCTGGATCCTCAAGTTTTCATCTTCTAAGTCTTGGAAAACCCTAGAACTCAGTTTTGGAATCTTGTTCCTCTTCTCTCTTTCCTCAGTCCCTGATATCCAATCTCATGATTTTAACAAACTTCTTGATTGGCAGAAGGGTCAAGGGTTCATGTTCTGAGCTTTCCCACAATCCCCAGACTCATATACATTTGCCACTTGACATAATAACATGTTATAGCTATGTTTACATATGTGGAAAATTGATATATCTGAAGATGAAGTCTGTTGTCCTCCATAAAAAGTAGAACACAGGAAGAACACCAATAACTGAAATCCTGATCGAATTTCCATTCTTCTAGTAATGAAATTCTTCCTTCTCTCCCTCTGAATTATAATCTAGGTACTTCTGGTTATCTGAGGTGTTATTTCCCTAGGTCAAGTCACCATCATTCTTTTGTGTGGACTGCAGTACCAGCTCATCTTGTTTTCATCCTTGCCCTTCCTATAGCCTTTTCTCCATTTGACATCTAGAGCAAACTCTGTGTGTGTGTGTGTGTGTGTGTGTGCACGCACTGCACGTGTGTGCGCACGCTTCTGCCTGCTTATGGAGGACAGAAGAGGATGTTGGTGTCCTGATGTATCATTCTTTCCCCTATTCCTTTGGGGTAGGATTCTCACTGTACTTGGACCTAGCCTAGCCTCTATTAAGCCTCAGCCATCCTCCAGTCTCTGCTCCATAGTGGGGATTTGAACTCAGGGTCTCATGCTTGTATAGAAGCACTCCTGCATGCTGGGCCATCCCCCCAGACTCTAGAGCAAACTTAAAAAAAGAGAGATTTATTTATTATTTTGTATCTTATGTGATGGATGTTTTGCCTGCATGTATGTAGAAGCAACATGTATGTGCCTGATACCAGAGACCAGAAGAGGGTGGCAGGTCCCCCAGATCTGGAGTTAAGGATGGTTTTCAGCCACTATATGAGTATTGGGAAATGAATTTCATCTTCTGAAAGAACCGCAAGTGCTTTCTAGCACTAACCCCCAACAGTCTTTTGTTTATTATTTATTTACTTATTTTTAATTTTTAAAGAAACCTCTGTGGGATGTGGTGGCTGAATGGTTAAGGTAATGAATGGACTTTTGAAAAGGAAATCTGCTGGTGCCAGTTCTGCTTCCAGACTTCTCGTTTTTCTTAATAAACTCCAAACAGATGACCACAGATCTGAGGCTCTGAGGGGACCTTGATCTCTGGCTAGCTAGCTCTCTGGCTTTCCCCAGTTAATCTTCCCCTTGCCCCCTGTGTTCCAGCTATATTATCCTTTCGCTCCTGCCACTGACGCGAGGGAGGGCTCTTCTCTGCTGCAGATCTCTGTTCTTCCAGACAGCGCATTGTTCTCTTACTCATCTGGACAGCTCTGCGAGGAATACCACTTGCACTTGCTCCCCCCGCCCTCCATCCCCTCATCCTGCTTCAGTTTTCTTTAGATCACTGGAGCTGGCCTCTGATATGTTTATTTGCTTTTCTCTCCTTCCGGAGTGTCTTAGTTAGATGAAACCCATGGCCAAAGAGCCAGCTGGGGAGGAAAGGGTTTATGCTTCTACAGCACTGGTCATCATCAAAGGAAGTCGGGACAGGAACTCAAACCTGGAGACAGAAGCTGATGCAAAGGCCGTGGAGGGCGCTGCTTACTGTCTTGTCATGGCTTGCTCAGCCTGCTTTCTTATGGAGCCCAAGACCACCAGTCCAGGGATGGCACCACCCACAATAGGCTGGGCCCTCCCCATCGATCACTAATTAAGAAAATGCTCCACAGGCTGGCCTACAGCCCAGTCATATGGAGGCATTTTCTCAGTCGAGGTTTCCTCCTCTCAGATGGCTACAGTTTGTGTCAAGTTGACATAAATCAAGCCAGCCCAGGGAGAATGTAACTTTCTTCCTCCCTCCTGTCCTCATTTCCTTTTGTGGGATGTTGTAATGCCATGTGTTCGGTACTTAGAGCAGTGCCTGGAACACGGTGTAGGTCCTCAGTAAATCCCGAATGAGCGGATTTTATTTTCTTGTATTATTTATTTATTTATTTATTTATTTATTTTTTGATAGAGGGTTTCTCTGTGTAGACCTGGCCGTCCTGGAACTCATTCTGTAGATCAGGCTGGCCTCGAACTCACAGAGATCCACCTACCTGCCTCTGTCTCCAAAGCGCTGAGATAAAAGGTGTGCACCACAATGCCTGGATGAATGAATGAATTTTAAGTGAATCTTTTCAAAGGAATGCTTTTTATTAAGAGATATCCAGTAGGTGGCACTCTTTTCAAACTGGATGTGATTATGTCGGAGGACAGGATAGGTTTTTCTGTTGCTTGTCCTGAAAAACAAGGTCTTGTGAAGAAGATTGTCACAGGAGACTACTAGGGTTAAGACCAGGCATGTAGAAAACTCCATTTATATTGAGCTTTTATTCATACTTTTAAAAATGCTTCCTAAGATAAAAATAATTTGGATAAACCTATAGAAAATTATTTAGTATAGTTATTCAGCACATCAAATGTGAATAGCACTAGCTTCTATCCATACACTGAGTGCTGAACTTACTGCATAGTTGCATCATCATCATCATCATCATCATCATCATCATCATCATCATCATCATAGTTTCTGACAAACCTTCACAGCCTGCCCATCTTCCATGGCCAACGGCACAGCATTTCTTCTCTGTCTTCCTCCATTCCTGCCCTCCTTCCCTTAGTCCCTATGCCTCTGTCAAACACTGCTCACTTGAATACCTCTTTAAATAATATTTTTCTCTTGAAGCATTTTGAATCTTGTCTTATTGAACCAAATTATGTATTTTTCTTTTCATTTTGCTGAAAATAAACTTAAAATGTTGTTGACTGTCTCTATTTTTCTCTTCTTTTTTTTCTGTTTTAGGCCCCTCCACCCTTGCTTCTGATTATAGCATATTTAAGGAACTTGTTTTGTTTATCTACTTAACGTTCTCAGTCTCTTCTCAGAAACCCTTTAACCATTTGGACACTGATCTTTTGTACTTCTGTGTCTCTAACTTGAACATAGAATATGGGATGGCTTAGTGTTTGCAGTTCCTGTTCCAGGTCCCCTGGATGACCAAGTATGGCTGACAGATATAACTGGAATACAGCTATACTCAAAGAGTTTTAGTTTTGACTTTTAAACCTATACATTTGTAATTTCTAGTAATGCCCTTTATGCCTCATTCTGCTAAATGATGATGTCATTTTTGTTTTATTTATCACTTTTTACTTGACCTGCCCCACATTATTAGATTTAGGCCTGGCGTCGGAATTGAATATTTAGAAAATAACTTTTTGTTTACTGAGAAGTAATTGGAGAGCATTCATTTGTTTACATAATAATCTTCTGTTTACCAAGGAACTATTAGATAGCACTAAATTTTAATTGAGAAAGCATATTTTTTTCTGGAATGAGACATGCCAACTTAAGTATAACTTACCATTAGGATAATATACTATAGTTATTGAAATAGACTTTGTTCATCCGAGCAACCGAAAGCCTTTTCTAATTTCAGATATGTTAATGTAGCTGTTAGACAAAAGTGTTACTTATAAACATATTATTTCCAGAAAATGAAAATTTGGGGACATTGTTGCTTGTTGGAAGTTGGGTGAGACCTGGAAGCCTTGCTAGCTTCTGTTCTGACAGCTGCCCTTCGGTAACAGGCAGAGAGGACACATGGCTTCAGGACACGTGTGTTTCCAGACTTTGGCCTGCACCTGACGTGCGGCAGGTCTTCGGAATTTCCCGTGGAGAATGTGTTGGAGACTCAGCAGTGAGGCTTTCGGTACTCAGTGTTTTCTCCTGCACTCTTCTCCCTTTTCTCCGTAGACTGCTCGAGATCGCAGAAGCCCGTTTTCCACTCTACTTTAACACCGAAGAAAAATTGCTCCAGATGAGCAGTAAAGTTCATCTCCACCGGGAACTCACCTGTGAGGGAGTTCTACAAAGGTAGGCGGTTTCAGATTTTGTTATTTTAGTAATGCTTTGAAGGTGTTTATCTTCTTTGTTTTTAGCTTTTGAGTAAAATAATTCTTATATAATAGAATTAAGGAAATAATTATTACTCTTTATTTGTGGTAGTTTTTAAAATGTTTCTTTAACATAGAAAAACATTTAAATGGATATTTTACAATCTAAGTGATTCATTAATTATGTGTTTTGTTAGCAAAGTGCCTCAAAATGTAGCAGCAAATATGTATTTTCTGGCTGCTGGGCATCTGGGAGTGGCGCAGCCAGTTTTTCTGCTCTGCTCTTGTCCAGGAGTGCAGTCGTCTCTCGGCTCAGCGGGCCTGGCATCTCTTTCCAGCCTCACTCCTGTGCCGTTGGAAGGCCTGCTTTCTTACGTGTGGATGTTGTAGTCTTTGTGCCTACTGTCTGGAACAAGAGTACCACTGTGTTGTCAAAAGCTTTTGTCACCCAGACCAACTCCTGTACCAGGTGGGAGGGCACATACACACAGGGAAATGTATTCATACAAAGACATGACATACCAGGAAATGGGAACAAGAGGGGGCCGTTTTGGAGACTGACTACCACAAGTAGTTTTACTTTAAGATTACAGCTTTTCTAGCATCGTAGGACAACATGAAAACACTGTGCCTGTTTCCAGAAGAATGCAAGACAATAGCAGTGCTGGACTGAACTAAGTTATGTGTGCTGCGTTTTATAGTCACCAGTGTGACTTAGGGAAGTGTGTGTGTGTGTGTGTGTGTGTGTTACTAGGATGGAGCCTAGGGCCCAGTGTGTATCAGGCAGGTGCGCTACCAAAGAGCTGCATCTCAATCCTTTTTAAATTTTTTACTTTGAGACAGGGCCATGCTATGCTTCCCAGTCAGGGTTTGTACTCCCACTGTAGCCCAGTTCAGCCTTGAGCTTGCAAACGTCTTTCTTCAGCTTCCTGAGTAGTGAGGACTACCGACCTGTGTCACCAGACCTGGCGTACTGATTTAAAGCTGATAAACCTTTGACACACTGTTGTTGTTGTTTTAGACTTATTTATTTTATATTTTATGTGTATGAGCGTTTGCCCACAATGTTTGTATGTACACCACTTGTAATGCCCGATGCCCTTGGAGGTCAGAAGAGGGCGTGGGACGCCTTGGAACTAGAGTTTCAGATGGGTGGGAACCATCTTGTGGGTGCTGGCAGCCAAACCCTGTCCTTTGCAAGAGCAAGTATTCTTAGCCATTGAGCCATCTCTCCAGTCCCTTGACTCTGTTTTTAAAAATTAAGTCTTCGCAGTTGCTTACAGATATTCTATGTTAAACCTGTCTTTTGTTTTTCTTTTTCTGAGTTCTAAATCCAAAAGCATGATTTTCCCTTCCCCCACTTTCTATCTCTTTACTGGGTACCAACCAAAATCCCAGTCATGTTTGTTCTAGGACTCTGGACTTCCCCCCTGTTTTCTCTGACTGTCCCTGCTCCTCACAGATGTTTGCAGACCCTAACTCAAAGTCATGATGTTCTCTCTTCTCCCCTAGTTCCCTTCTCCTGGAAGCTGCCAGGATTTACAGCTTGCCCGTCCTGTGGTTAGCTTTCCTCTCCAACCCTAATACAATGTTCTTCCATCTTCCTTCTAAAAAGAAAGACAAAAAAAAAAAAAGTGTCTTAAATTTGTTCACTATTTTACAAATTCTACTTTCTTAGGCTTGAATCTTTGGAGGAAGAGATTATTTCCAAAGGAGTTAAGCTTGTGATAGTTGACTCCGTTGCGTCCGTGGTCAGAAAGGAGTTCGATCCGCAGCTTCAAGGCAACATCAAGGAAAGGAACAAGTTCTTGGCCAAAGAAGCATCCTTACTGAAGTACCTGGCTGAGACATTTTCACTCCCAGTAAGTGTCCCCTTTTCCTTCTTTTTTCATAAAGTCATGGTCTCACAGTAGGGAGTAATGAACTTAGAGAAGACTAGCAAGCAGGCGGCCTTTTAAAGTTTGATTACTACAGCAGGTAACTCTGGTTTTGTAAATTACTCTGTCTGCTGAGATTCTTTCCCCTTTTTCTAACGCGATGCTGGGGGACATTTAAGTGTTTGATGGTTCCATCGCCACTCTCCTTACTCCTTCTCACTCTTCACTCATTCTGAGTGTTTTGTATCACGTCTGTCATGCTGAGATTACTATGAAGCAGTACAACTCACCGAGTTGCCTGGGTCTTTGAACTTTCTTTGCAGAGGCAGGGTATCTTGTAGATTTTGTAAATTAAATCTTTTAGGCTTTTGTGCATACGTTACTGTGTTTAGCGCTGTTTCGGTTTGCTTCCAGTGGGCAGAGGTCAACCACTAATGGAAATGCCCATGAGAAAACCTTAAGAGAGCTGTTGGAATGGCTTTCTGTCGTGGGCATTGTGATCAGGACATCTGAGGTGCGCGGTTGATGACACAGAAATACGTATTAAGGTCCGCCCCATTCTGCTGCCCGTGGGAGGGCTGAGCTTGTTCCACAGCCTCAGGAAGAGTGCTGTTTCCAGACAGTCTTACTGTCCAGCCCTGGCTGTCCTCCCGCCAGACCTTCCTGCCTTGTCTCAGTGCTAGAGTTGCAGGTGTGGCTTCCACACCCTGCCGGGCTTTTCCGTTTCGTGTCCCTCACCCAGACAAGGCAACTCTTTAACCTGAGATAAAATTTGTTTGAGACTTTATAATTTTCATTTGTCTTGGGGGAATTAAAAGCTTGGGTCTTTGTATCAGAAATCATTCAAACAAATTATGTGAGCCACCATGCAGCCTTTCATTTGTACAGCCTAGCAGGAAGGCGGGGAGAAGATGTCATGTATGTGCCTTCTACATGTTCTAATGGCTCTAAAACTTACAGTTTGGATTAAAGTCAGCTACTGCAAAGTTTAGCTTGAGAAGTGTTTCCTTTTAGAGTTTTGTAGTTGCTTAAAATGGTATATTTGAATTTCTGTTGTTTTATTTATTCAAGTAGAATAGAAAAATTTAAAGACTATTTCAAAGCGATACTTAATTGACTGGAAAGCTGAGATTTGCTGCATACTTACCTTATTGATTTAATGTTGCTCGACCTAAGCCTGTGTAAAATGTAAAAAATTCACTTTTTAAAACCTGTTTTTTTAATAGCAATTTTAGCCTGATGCTTTGCAGTTTGCTAAGATAATTTATGTTTCTGAGTAAGAAAAAGGACTTTTTGTTTTGAGTCGAGTTCTCTGAAACATCACGTGCTCGGTGTCTGCACCCTGGAAGAACGTGAGCATGGCTGCAGTCTGATGTGTGAGTTATTTCCGCCGGTCCCTAGTCTAGATCCTTCTCCCTAGGCCAGTCATCCAGGTCTCATGCTACTCCAGACAACCAGTGCAGTATGGATCTAGGAGGTGCATATGCCTTTAACCCTAGGAAGCAGAGGAAGTGGAGCTTTTGTGAGTTCAAGGCAAGCCTTGTCTACATAGTGAATTTCAGGCCAGACAAGGCTATACAGTAAGACTTTTGCCGTAAAAAAACCAAAAAACAGGAATCTAACAGTTTTTTGTATGGCTTCAAGGCACTGACCTCCCTCCCCCCCTTTTTTTTTTCCTTTAAGGAATTTTTGTTAGAGCAAGAATTTTATAATTCAAATTGTGTTTCTGTGCTTAGTTACCGGTTCTGTTACTTAACACAGAATGGACAGCCCAAGCGATTCCACATTAAAGAATTATAAGTGCAAAGAAAGGGATGCTTTAAATTTTTGTACTTTACTGAAAATTCTTTTTTATGGTCTACAAAACATTAATTTGTTTTTATAGCTTTCCATTTTTTAAAAACAAATAATCTAGAACTAGCATTGTTTGCTAGACCTGGCATTTGCTTAGTGCATACAGTTCAAAGTTTCCCTTCCTTTTAAAATTCATTTAATATTTTGCAATTTTTCATAGTATTAAAAATTTCAATGTTTAGATATTTTTCTTCTATGAAGCGTTGTGGGTTTTTTGTTGTTGTTGTTGTTGTTGTTGTTGTTGTTGTTGTTGTTTTTTTTGTGTGTGTGTGTGGTCCCTGATCAAATTTAGCCGTTCGGAACCCCAGTGGCATTGTCCCCTGCTTTCTGGGCAGCCTCTATTACTTCGTGTGCTGGTAGTATGGCTGTGGTGTCATAAGCCTTCGAGGGAGACACTCTGGAGACTCAAATGTGGGGGAATTCTGCAACCTGCTTTTCCTGTACAAGGTCAAGAACCTTCAGCTGCTTCCCTGTTGGCAACTGCACCCTTTGAGAACTATAGCGAGTGTTGGGTGAACGGCTGTTTGCTCTTACTCAGGCCATGCACCCTCCTCTTGCAGAGATTCTCTTGAACCCCCATTGCTGACTCCAGTGTTATCACTGCAGGAATATGATGAAGTATGAGTAATACTTCATACCAAATGATATTTGTGAAATAAATCATCGGGTGTGCTACCTTTGTAAACAGCATAATGCTGTACAAATAATTATGCTGGCCTAATGTTACAGATGATAACTTGGTAGGTTTATCTGTTTATAGTATGCATACACTAACCTGTGTTACAGCTTCCTTTGATTTTAACGTCCATGCAGTGAATGTGATGACTCAGTTTTTTGAGCTACTAGTGAACCTTTGGTTTGGGAAGGGTGACATCATTTGGTCCTCACGTGGACATGAATGTGTTTATATTTTAATTCTGTTATGGCTCTTGTCTCCATTAGCCATTGACCATCAAAGAGGTTCTAAATGACACCACTTTACTGGAAACACACATTATTATGTTATGGAGGATTTGAGTTATAAAGTTAAACATTCTCAGGAGAGAATTTTATATACTCGAATACATTAAGACTGTAGTTTGCGAAGCTCGGTTGTAGAAGCCTGGTGGAATTTTTCCTCTCTGAAGCTTTGGGGAATGGAGAGGCATGCTGCTATGGGGGAGCTTTTGTCTTTAAAACATGTTTATGATGGTGGTGGATTCTGAAACTGTTTATAGATACTCAGTGGAAATAATAAGAGAAAAGAATTCAGATGTTGACTTCTAAAGTCGGTGGTGACTGTGGTTGTACTGCCTGGTCACTGCTGCTTCTGTTTACCATATAGAAGCAGTAATGTCACATTGTGAACTGTGGAGGTGAAGATAATAGTACGTACTTGTGAAAAGTAATTGTCGGCTCACAGTGGCCCCCCCTTTCTGTTTTACAGATGATACTAAAAGTAGAAGTAGCTTTTTTTTTTCCACCTGTAGTTGTTAAAATTCGGATTATTCTAAGACACGGCCCTAGGCATTTCTCCTGGTTGCCCTCTGTGCTCCTGATTATGTGCTTTGGGAATATGCATAGCTCGAATTTATTGGTTATTAAGGGTTCTTTTGAAATAGTAATCTCCATTTTTGTGCTTAAAACTTTAGATACATGAACGAAAATACTTGTACTTCTCGTTTGCTGTTTAAAGGCATCCAGATTTAGGATCCTCATCAAGAAGAAACTGTTTGGTTTTAAGTGAAAAAATACAATAAGATAAATATTTTATTATTTGAAAAGGGCATACATTTTTTTCTCTCAAATTAATCTGACTCAACTTTATATGGTCTAGAATGTATTTTTTTTTAACCTACAGCTGTCTCATCATGCCAGGTGGTTTAATCTTGAAGACCATATCTTATCATTGACACTAATAAATACTAAAAAATTAAATTAGTGGACAGTTTATTAAAAGAGTAAAGATTTTGTCAATTACAAAATTCTCATTGGGTTTTTGACTTGCGACATAGATATATGTGTCCACTTTTGTCATTTAGCCTTTTTTACGGATCTTCAAAGCTTACATTTTTAGGAGAGTTTTATGAAATTGCTCTGTGAGATAGAAATCACAGATCCTCAATGTATTAAAACACTGGAGTTGGTGCTCATACTGTGTATCTTTATTGTGTGGCTTTTCTGGAAATCAGACGTTCTGGGTTTAGTCTGACCATTCATAGGAGTCACTGAGAACCAGCAGTTCTCAGTGGTGACCTCGAGGTGAGTAGGGTTCTGTGGGGCCTCTGTTTGCTCACGCAGGAGACCATCCTTCATCTATCCACTTGCTGCCCACGGCCCTTAAACTCGCTGTGTAGTAAGCATCAGCTAGTGGATAGCAGGGCAGCATTGGTGTGCTTGAAGGTGCACAGCCGGCAGCGGTGGGACAAATCAGGTAGCCCAGGAATATACTCCCAGTGAGGAAACGGTTAACTCAGCTGGCTCAAGTTGCTCCAGTCCTGCTCATTTCTAGAAAAAAAAAAATCTCCCTTTTTTTGGCCTGGCTCTTGGCTGGGTCCTGGGAGAAGAGCCCTGGGAATATTCCACCTAGTAAGTATTTTTGTATGTGTGAGGGTTGAGGCCACAGGTACCAGGCTGATCACAGTTTGTGCAAACAATGCGGTCTGTGGTAAGCATTGATTTTGCTCTGGGGACCGGAGTCTAATTAGCTGAGGTCATTTAAGTGGGTGCTGCATACCTCCCGACTGACCCCAATAAAAATGCTGGACACTAAGGATTGAGCCAACTTCGCACATGTTGCCCTGCGTCATTGCTGAGACAGTTAAGCACATCCTTGTGTCTCCACTGGGAGAGGACAATGCAGCCTCTACCTGGATTTCCTGCACTTGTCATGCTTTCCTTTGCCACGCGTCTGTCTCTCAACAGTCATCCCTGAGGGAAGGGCGAGCAGAGGATGGGGGGAGAGAGGGAGCCTTAGCTGTAAACATCTTTTCTGAGCTTATAGTTTAAAAAACATAGTTTTTAAAGCTGTTTTTTTATTATTGTATATTGACAGTTTATAATTTTATGTATTGATCGGATCCAAAGTGATCTTATGATAGTCTTAATGGTAACTGCAAGATTTAGCTCACAGTGTTCCAACAAGCATAATT